GTTTTCCGTTCATCGGTCGTGTACTCCGGCGAGATGACACTACCGATCAGGTGACCACGGCGTTCGAGGCGTATAGTCAATTAGGTCGGGTCAAGGTCAGACCTACAATGGCTATCTCAGCTTTGCCAAATTTGCATGAGGATATTATTCATGTTGCGGAGAAGAAACGAGCTGAAATTATTATTTTGCCATTTCATAAACATTGGCAAATGGAAGGAGAAGAAGAAATGGAGATTCATGCAGGTATGCGTGTCAAAAATTGGTATACATATGTTCTTTTGAATTACCAAATCAGCTAGTAATAATTTTTTTCTTTTATTTATCATGATTTTATCAAACAAATCAAACCTAAAAGTAATAATTATTTTAATGTTTTGGCAAGTTTTTACTAGATCAATTTGGCTACATACGCCATCCAAATGACTCAACTTTTAGATGGTTGTGTTATAGGGACAATGACACTGTACAGCCGCTCTTAAAATAATAGCTGAAATATATATATATTTTGTATATATATACATTCTATATGTTGTATACAAAATTATACAAATTCTTTATACTTTTTGGGCTACCGAACATAAATAGTTTCTGGCGCGAGCTAAAAGTGTAAAAGGCCCATAAATATATACCAAGCCAAATTGGTCCAATTCTTGGTGAATTCGGTGAAATATATTTTCATGGGCTAAATTTGACACCTACAACTATCATGTTCTGGAAAAAAAAATTATCTATCATATTCGTCTAGGAAAAAAATATTGTATTTTTATTATGGTCTTAGAGGACGACAATTACTTAAATACGTTCGTATGCAGGGCACGGATGGAGAACGGTGAATGAGAAGGTGATGAGACAAGCGCCGTGCTCAGTGGCAGTGCTGGTTGATCGTGGACTAGAAGTGAATGAGATCATGAATTCCATGAGAGTTTGCATTGTGTTTTTTGGTGGAGCTGATTGTCGAAAGGCTATTGAATTTGGTAGCAGAATGGTTGAACATCCAGCTGTTAGGGTTACATTAGTAAGATTCATTCAAAATTTTGGGAGTAATTTTGATGAAGTTGAAAGGTAAAATCCTTTATGCATTCTAGTATAATAATCTAACGGTTTAATGCATGCATTTGTATTTTGATTTTATATATATTCTATGCATTGACGGTATAAATTTTTTTTATATAGATATAAATCGTAAAGAACCTACTATCACAAGTTAAATTAAACGTTAGTGTAAAATATATGTCTAATGTCATGGTATAACTTAATCCTTGTCTATTAAGTAGTACATCATGTGTTATCATATAAGTTTAATTGATATGCATAAATTGTGTAAATATTCTTTACACTATTAGTAATCTTTAACATGCATGTGATGTTACAGCAATAATATTATTTTGCAAGATACTAATCTCATACAATGCTCTTATCATAATAACTACTCAGAATTCTAACTTGACACCAGATTAAAATATGCAAAATCAAGCAAAATAATGCATAAATGTAATATTATAAATTGCATATATAGGAGAATATATTTTCTTATGTTGCTAATAAAGGCTAATCCAGAATTTAAGGTCTATGGATTCACTTTTATGGTTTTAGCATTGAACTCATTATATTTTTAAGTTATAAGTTCATATCTATTATTTACTGATATTTTAGCAATTCTTTACACATATATTACATTGAACACATATATGTAAAAAATATTGAGTTCAGATGAACTCGATATCCGTATGTTGCATCCACCCATGGTTGCTACATGTACAATTTCGCGTTAAACTTCAGAAGTTAATCAAGATTTCAGTAGATCATTAGCACGCCAACATCTTTGGTATCATAATAAATTTGAGTTTTACCAAATCAGAACAACTAATTATAAACATCAAACTGGTCATGGATCTTTGGTTATATTACTATTTCTGCTATTCATATTTTCTTTAATTCAGTAATTTCATCATCGCTTCTTTACTCTTGTAGTTTTCAAACCCATTTTGAAAATACTTTTCTTGAGCCGAGAATCCACCAGAAATATCCTCGATCTCTGCCTCACACACACTGGCGGAGCTAGAATTTTCCCTAAAGGAAGTCAATACAAATAAGTAAGCATATGAAAAAATTGAGGGGAGTTAACACATAGTATATATACATAAAAAATGAAATATTTAACCTATCTTCGTGATATAATTTCCCGACGAAGGGGTGTCAATTGACTCCCCTTGCCAATGAGTGACTCCGCCACTGTTCACACAAGATAGGAGTAAAATCTGCGTACACTCAAATCTCCTCTAATGTTGTTGTTGGTGTCGTTTTTCCAAACAGGACTTTGGACGATACTACAATTGCAGATTTCAAGATAAGGTGGGATAAACAAACTGTATATGATGAGAAAGAAGCAAGTGATGAATTGGTGGAACAAGTATTGGCAATAGGGAAAAGTGGTGAATTTGAGCTGATAATAGTAGGAAAAGGCATGTTCCCACAATACATAATGGCAAAACTATTTGAAAACCCATCAACTGATCAGCATTCAGAATTGGGGCCAATGGCTAATATATTGGCTTCCTCTGGTAAAGAGATAAAAAGTTCTGTCCTAATGATTCAACAACAAGCTTTTGGCTGTGAAAATACTAAGGATGTCAATTCAAAAGTGGCTAGCCAGTGTTAAAACTGTTAAAATTTACCTGTACCGAGTGTTTACTTATTAAGATGTATGACGCATTTGGTAATTAGAAGGGATTGTCAAATGTTAGTGTTTAACGGTTGCATTGAAGAAAATACTCTTCAATTAGTTGTTGTCTCATGTGTAGAATGAATAAATGAATAATCTCAATCTTTGTCGAAATTCTTAGATTATGACAAGGGAAAAGGGTCAAAGTGGTGCCTTTTACTATGATAAAAGGATTATTTACCTTCTGTTTGACTTTCCGTCTAAAAATATCCTTGTCGTTATACAAGTAGTCCAAATATATTCTTTCTCCGTTAAAAATATCCTATGTGAACGTCTAATCTCACGTGACACTGATATTTTGATAAGATGATTATTATGTGGCATGCCACCTCACTCCCCAACCCATTTGACCCCTCCCACTCCCCCCCNCAACCAAACACAATTTTATTCAAATACATTATTGCAGTTGTACTCGATAAGTTTTCAAATCTTGAAATGTTTTTATAATAGTATCATTAAAAATAATATTAAACACATTTTTTATATAAGTACCAAGCAACTGCTAAAAAATTCATCACTCATTCAATTTTCCATAATTCTTGATAAATTTTATTGCCGAAAAAGCTCATTCAACAAATACAATGACAAGCAGAAGAAGCACAATAGGTTTTACTAAACAAAATATAAGAGAATAATTTCAAATCTTCTTGAAAGACCATAAAACCCGTTTTAAACCTGAGAACCTTTCATCTGCATTACGAACATCAATAATATAACTAGCTTCCAAACGGATTCTTAGGAGAATTCGTACTAAATTCATCAAAGTTATCGAGATATTATTTTTCTAATGTTAAAACTTGAAAACAAGTCAATTAAATTTAAATTACATCACCATAATTTGGATGAAAGTCCAAGATTTCAAATCTTTCGGCTAGATCAGCCTTTAAAGAATCTAAATTAAATTCTTGAGAAGAATGTACTGGTACTTCTAAATTGTTGGCATTTTCTTCCCGATTAGGTTGATTATGAGAAGTCATGAAACTTGAATTTGGTACTTTGATAAGATACTTCACTGAATTTTGAGCTAGATAGATGCATATACAATTAAGGAGAAGCTCTCGCACATAAACAAAGCAAAAGTTCTCAAATATAAAAATAAAAAATAAAAATTGCTGGATGGGATCCAAATGATGGCAGAAATTACATCCTCTAAATCTCTAAAGAATATTACACGAAATGAACTCAAGACAATGACAAGTACATCAAATATACACATAAATACAAAAAAAAAAAAAAAAAAAAAGGAAAATAGAAATCAAACTGTTAAAACAAAGAAACCAAGGTTAATAGAATCTCAAAAGGTATATGTTGAGAAAGAAGCAACTTGGTGGAAGAAGTGTTGGCAATGGAAAAACCGAGGACTTGGAACTGATGATAGTAGGGAAAAGTAGGTTCCCACAAAGCATAATGAAAAGCTAGTTGAACACCAAACTGAGCATTCAAAATTGGGACCAACAGGAGATCTGCTGGCATTTTCAGGCAAAAGCAGAGAAAGTAAAATGAACCCGGAGATAAGAGAAAGTAAAATGAATCATCACATTTAGGGTGTTCATAAAAATCCGAAAACCAAACCAAACCGACCAAAAAATTGATACTTTTTGGTTTGATTTGGTTTTGGTTTTGAAATTTAAAAACCGATCAAATTTAATTTGGTTTTGATTTTAATTAAAAAAAACGAACCAAACCAAATATAGGAGTAGCTATTTTAAATTTATTATTACACCTATATATATATGTATACTTTTATACAAAGTTTTAAAAATTTTATAGTAAATATTAATCGTTTGCACTTTTAGTAAAGTTTTTTACCTTTACATTCTAGTTTAATTGGTAATTTTCTTTTGTTAAGTGTAAGAATCTATTTCATGTTAAAAATAATATATTTTTAATTGAGTCCTTAAATTATTCATCACTATTTAATTCAATTATCATCAATATATCTTGGTAAATAATACATTTCTCAATTGATTTGATAGTGTTACGTTGAAAATGTGATCGTCGAAATGTGTGTTTGATAATGTATGTCTTATATATTTAAGAAAAAACCAACAAATAACCGAAAAAAACCAAAAAACCGACATAAACCGAATCGAGAAAAAACCGACTTAATTGGTTTGATTTGGTTCTAATATTTGAAAAAACGACTTACTTGGTTTAGTTTCTTTTTAGGGAAAAACTGAACCATAAACACCCCATCAGTGTGTGTAGCATAGGTGCACTGAGCTGCACAACAACCTAACTGCTTAAGCATATCAAAACCTGTAACATACAACTCACAAGCCAGACAAAGATCTTAAGCTGCCAAAACCATATATCCAAGATTTACATGTCCATATGCAATACAGAGAAATGAGACATAATTAGCAAAAATCTCCAATATATGGGATAGACAGGAATAAAGTAAAAACACAAAAATGGTCTTTACAAATCCAAATGTAACCTAAATGCATGTTTTTAGCTCCGAATAATGGTTCTCAACAACAGTCTAATTCTGTTTGCTTTTGCTCTTTCTTCTTTTACAGGGGAGCAATTAACTCAACCTGCAGGCAATGGTACAAATATCAACTATATTCAGACACACAAATCCTTTCCAACACGACACATGGAGAAAATCGAATCTGGAAGGGTAAAAAATTTACTAAGTTATAACATGCACTGCTGTCAGAGGAAACCTCCATCAGTCCATTTGGAATCTGATTTTCCAGCATGAACGGCATGTTTAGTACCAGATGCACTCTGGTAGTGATTATCAAATCCATCATCCTGACCATCATCCCATCCAGCCCAGTCATCGTTCTTGCTGGCTGCTGCCCCCTTTGTAGAGCTTACTTTGCTTTTGTCCTCATTGTCCCAATCATCCCACGATCCAGAGCTGACAGAATTAACGTTCCTCCCAGAGGACTGGGCTCCTCCAGAAGTATTCCATCCCTTAGAATCCTGATTAAAATCCTGATAATAGCCGTTCTTTTCATTTTCACTTCGTTCCCAGCTATCATTCTTCCAGGCTGGACTGTCCTTGGTATATTCCTCAACCTTCTGCGAAGCTATAGCCAAGACTCCTTTCATGAGACCCCAACCCTTTTGTCCAATCTCAGTTGTTTTTGCCGTGACAACATTGACTGTTTCATTAACCTTGGTATCATATCCACCTTCTTTCACCTGCAAAAATTGGATTGCACATGCATCTGAACTATCATTTTACTCCACTGCTTCTTTGTCCAAACACTAGACATAGCAGAAATGAAATGTAGACTACACAACAAATAAAAAAATTTAAAAATTAAAAATAAATAAAACTGAAGAGCAGGCTTTTTAAACAAGCACCTAAACAACTTCAGATAGAGATAACTCCAGCTCAAATGAAGATAGCCAATTGATTCATTCAATGGCAACTCTCATGCCCACGGAATACAGGGGTAAACTTTAGACTCCAAGTAATACAAAAGGCACCTAAATACCAAACACTATCTGGGGCAGCAAAGAAGTTAACTCCAGTTCAATTAAAACACATGNAGTACCATTTTCCTTGACAAATCTTGGAAAATAAGAATAAGGTAAAGAAAACATTATAAATTTAAAGGGTCAAAACTGATCCCAAAAGGAAACAGATGTTAAATATTTTTATAAGCACCAACCGCCACGGCTTATAGTCTTTTTGCTTTGCGACTCACCAGCTTGAACTCTTGACCTAGTGTTGTAGAGAGAACTCCCTCAACCACTATGACAAAGAGAGACCGGTTGCCACGGTTTATAGTCTAGTGGCATCGACGGGTCTCTCCTACACAATAGGTGTGGGTTTGATTCCTATTTACCCTATACCCCAATATAATAATAGAAACTCCAGTTAAGGAGTTAAGATAATATAGCAGAGAAATGCAGTAACACTCGTGACTCTGCAGAGGCAAGGACTTTGTCTAAGATATAGTGCGCCAAGATCGTCATTTCCTTTCTTTACTTCCCTTAAGCTCTGGTCAGATGATATAGGAAACATGTCATTTCAAAACTGAGCTTTGCATGAAATTAGCAGAAGACAACATGAATCTCTGGTGGGACAAGCTTGTTCTTTGACCCTAGAACTAAATAAACAGAGAAATAGATTTACACAGTTTCTGAACTGAATAATTTCACTGCAAGATGACACCTGACTCAGCAACCTTTTTGGAGATGAAAATTGATGGTTTGAAGGAAAATCCTAGCACATATTCACTAACAAAGACCAGCTAAATGTGCACTAACTTACGACTCACTAAGTGAACCAGCATACTAAGAGCAACACAAATAAGTGGAGTTGGAGGATTAGCTGAATATTGTTATTAACTTGTTGACAGAATTGTGGAAGACGAACAAAGAGGTTCTGAAGCAATTGCAAAAAGCACTAAAGCATTATTTAACGGTTCCAAGTTGCATTTAGACATACTAATTAAGTCATAGTTTCACATATTTGAACTTCAAAAAGCATAATTGGTTCAAAACTCGGTAAAGGAAGCGGATTGTGGTAAGTACATGTTCAGCAATAAAGTTGTCTAGCTACGGACTTTAGATAGTGCTGATTGAATACAGAGGATTCATATAGAAAACCAACTATTTTGGGATTGAGTCATAGTTGAATGATAAATCGAATTAACCAATTAATAATCTTGTAGCAACCAAGATACTTTTAATATATGCATGTTCTGCAAGTAATAGTCTGTTCGGCCAAGCTTCTAAAATCAACTTATTTTCAGAAGTGTTTTTGTGTTTGGCTACTTAATTCGAAAAGCACCGTTGAGCAACAATTAATGTTTGGTCAAACTTTTAAAAAGTGCTTCCAAGTGTATTTTTCTCAAAATTGCTTCTGTTTCTACTCAAAAGCACTTTTTTCCTTCTAAAAACTTAGCCAAACACGTTAACTTTGTGGGGGGGGGGGGG